CTACCCTGGGATGCTTCCACATAAGTTTCAACTTTTCTTGCCCAGTGGTTCTTGAGAAGAAGATTTTTAAAGATTTTTCCTATATATTTCTATGTAAAACTTTGTAACCCCATTGTGGCCCCGCCCTACCCCCGGGGGTCATGATTTGAACAAATTAGGATCTACACTACCCCAGAATGCTTCCACATAAGTTTCAGCTTTAGTGGCCCAGTGGTTCTTGAGAAGAAGATTTTTAATGAACCAACCCTATTTTTATCTTTTCTTGATTATCTCCCCTTTTGAAGGGACATGGCCCTTCATTTTAACAATTTATATTTCCCTTCACCCAAGGATGCTTTGTACCAAGTTTGGTCAAAATTGGTCCAGTGGTTCTTGAGAAGAAGTCTAAAATGTGAAAAGTTTGCAGATGGACAGACAGACAGACGGACAGAGAGACAGACAGATGACAGACAAAATGTGATCAGAAAAGCTCACTTGAGCCTTCGGCTCAGGTGAGCTACAAATTACCTCCCTTTCTCTGAAGCTTAGATATTCCGACAATCTCTGATTTACCTCTCTTGATATTTTTGCTTTAAAATCCAGTCTTTAAGAAATTTTTTTTATTTAAAAATATAATATACAGATACAAAAAACATTCAGAAAAAATAACTTAGTATATGAAAAGATGTACAATAATGTAGAAGCACTCCGAGCTTTCTCCAAATGCCTTATACAAATTTAACTGAGTTAACTTTGAGTGATCTGCTGTGAATATGTCAGGAGTTACCCTTTATGTGTTATGTACTCAGCACGGTCCACTGAATTCTGGAGTCAAGCAATTTACTGTGTCCATCATTTTGTAATAACAACGTACTCAAGCAATATCCATTAAATTCTGTGAGTTAAGCTGTTTAGTGTGTCCATCACTGTGTTGATAAGAGTTACAAATGTACTCAGCACAGTGCACTGAATCCTACAAGTTAAGATATTTAGAGTGTCCAACTGTCCATCATTTTATTATAACAATGTACTTGGCACAGTTCATTGAATTCTGTGAGGTAAGCTGTTTACTGTGTCCATCACTTTCTGATAACAATGTACTCAGCACAGTCCATTGAATTCTGCGAGTTAAGCTCTTTAGTGTGTCCATCACTTGCAGCCCAAACCTTAATCTCTGCACTATTGTTGAAGCATATTTGTCTGCTGTCAAAGAAACAAAATTGATGGCAGTCAGTCTGTAAAGATAACAAATCATGAGGGATCAAAAATATTAATAAAATCTTAATAAGTGAAAAAAGGCTAACATATTTTCACAGATTAGAAGGAGTTTGCAGAGCTTGTAATCTTACCTTTATTTTCAGGTTCCAGCTGATCTCTTTGGACTCTCACAGAAACATGGCGAGCTGCTTTTGGAAACAGGATCAATGCCAGCATAAACCCCTACCTATCAACAAAAAAAGAAACTAGAAATTCAAGAAATGCGAGTGTCATAATCTCATTTAATTCACATAACACAAGGTCTCGAGCTTGACATACAACCGACTTACCAAAGATTTCAGGTTAGACAGTAGTTAGTCCTTCATCTCCAGTCTTGTTAAAAAGTTGAGGTCAGTCTCATCTTCTGCCTGTTAACAAAGAAAAATCTAAAGATCATTGAAAATAATTAGGGATGTCAAATCGGTCGATTTTTAATACTCGGTTTATCCAACGTTTTTCCGATCGAGTGCCCGGGTACTCGGTAAAAGTGTAAATAAATATGAACAAGTAAATTGACGACTGTAAAACATTGTAAACTCTTGTAGAAATAAAACCAGATGCACTGATAGGAGACCTATCCGTGAATGTATTTCTCTCATAATAATGATGAGCACTTCGTGCCCGACGAAATTAATATAACATACTTAATATTCAATTTATGTATCAAATAAACACAAGTATTAAAATTATAAGTTTTTCACAGTGTTTTTGTTTAAAAAAAAATAATCTGCTCTGTAATTGTAATGTAACTCTTTATCGCATTTGACGACCAGGTATCAGTCGTCAGAGCTACGTACAGTATCAACGTGAACTTGATCAAGTTCTCCTAACAGAGCGGATTTACGATTTTCGTACACTTTTTCGATCCTAGACTTTGTAATATTACAGTACGGTATTTAGTAGTTTGGTGCAACGATGGACATCAGTCTTTTTTTTAAAGCCTTTGCCTTCAACCAGTTGAATTGGCATGTAATATCACACGTGTAATATCATCCGCTCTTTTCCCGAGAATTTACGGCTTCTCGGAGAAATGACAAAATTATCTAACTTATTTAAACATAATGGATCTTAAACAATGTTCAGTGAAAACAAATAATTAAAGCCAAACAAAAAAACATAGGTAATCAGAGATAACAGAGCTCATCTCAACGAATGTTGTCTTTAAGTAAGGCAAAGTCACACAATTAACCAACAAAAAGTATACATTCCAAAAATGAAAATATTTTTAAAAGCAATTTTGATCTGATACTTTGAAATAGACCTACATAAAAAATTTAAACTACTTCTTCTTCATGAAAATGTAATGAAAATCCAGCATCTGAAGCAAATTTGAGAGTTTTCATCTCTTGATGCAGCATTTGTGCAAGTTTGGTTTATACAATGTTATATAAGCCTTATAGTTTTTGGTAATAGACCTGCAACCATAACTTTTACCTTGTCTATTATCTGAAAAATGTATGTCCAATTCAGCATCCGAAGCAAGTCCATTAGTGTGCATCCTTAGATGTATCATCAATGCAAGTTTGCTCATTATAGGGCTCATAGTTTATTGGAAATGAAACATGCATCAAAACTAACATTTTCACTCATCCACAAAAAGTAGGTCAGATTCAGCATCCGAAGCAAGCCTGGAAGTATGCATCCTTAGATGTATCATCCATGCAAGACTGGTCATTAAAGAACTCGTAGTTCCTTGGAAATGAAACCTGCACCAAAAACTTTTAACTATTCACTCAACCGGAAAATGTAGGTCAGATTCAGCATCCGAAGCAAGTCTGGTAGTGTGCATCCTTAAATGTATCATCCATGCAAGTTTGGTCAACATAGGGCTTAAAGTTACTTGCAAATGAAACCTGCACCAAAAACATTAACCTGTTCGCTCAACTGGAAAATGTAGGTCAGATTCAGCATCCGAAGCAAGCCTGGTAGTATGCATCCTTAGATGTATCATCCATGCAAGTTTGGTCAACATAGGGCTTATAGTTACTTGGAAATGAAACCTACACCGAAAACTTTAACCTGTTCACGCAACCGGAAAATGTAGGTCAGATTCAGCATCCGAAGCAAGCCCAGTAGTATGCATCCTTAGATGTATCATCCACGCAAGTTTGGTCAACATAGGGCTTATAGTTACTTGGAAATGAAACCTACACCGAAAACTTTAACCTGTTCACGCAACCGGAAAATGTAGGTCAGATTCAGCATCCGAAGCAAGCCCGGTAGTATGCATCCTTAGATGTATCATCCATGCAAGTTTGGTCAACATACGGCTTATAGTTACTTGGAAATGAAACCCACACCAAAAACTGCACCAAAAATGTTAACCTGCTCCAAAAACATTAACCTGGTCATTCCTTTGCTGAAATTGCAGCATCTGAAACTTTGACTGGTACAATGAAACACACTAGAAACATCTTCCATGCATGTCTAATCAATATAGGACATAGAAGTACTTAAAAAGAAAACTGCTCAAAAAAACTTAACCTTAACCCGGGACGCCGACGCCGACGCCGAGGGTATTACATAAGCTCCCTCAACTTCGTTGAGGTGAGCTAATAAGAGAAGAAGACAGCCGAAGGTGAGAAAAGCCAGGTACTCAAGGTGCTTGGTCATGATAATTACTGTATAAACACTGCCACAGGCGATAACGGTCATTTAGAGTCGTAGGAAACCCTAATTACTGTATTTACAAGTGCAATGAGCATTTTACGTTTTAAAACAGATTGTTTAATGCATTAATAAATAAGTTTAGAACTATTCAAAATTATACATCCGAATAACCGAGTACCGATTTTAGCATTCGATACTCGGACGTTCGATCGAGTACCCTTAACCGGGTACTCGTTGACATCCCTAAAAATAATGAAGGAGACCTTGTGCCAAAATGTTCACCTGAATCATCTTGACCTTGTCATCAGAAGAAAATCTTAATTCATATTTTTACTAATCCTAGTCCTAAGGGATCATGATGTAACCTAATTTGAATCAAGTCATCCTCAGGAGGCTTTAGATTGCAACATGGTTGCTGTTGCGCTGCAGAAGTAAATCACCTTGAACCTATGATTTGAATAAGTGTATAAAGAAAATTTGAAAATTGCGAAAAAAAGAGCTTTTTACTCACTCCATTATCAGATATTGGCTGCTGGACAAAGCTTGGCAATGGACTCTTCTTCTCTTGGTCAGCACTGGTCTTCTTCCTTCTTCCCTTGTCAAATCCCTTTAAAATACTTGATGGAGAGAAGATAGGCAATAATTCAAAGCAATGTAATAATCAAAGAAACTCAAATGATCATAATCATTACAACATTATTAGCTGGAAAATCAAAGAGCAAATTAAGACAATAAGGTTATGATAGGAATAAGGTGGATTATTGGGGCAAGGAGAGGAATGCATAGTTACTTTAGAGAAGGGAGGACAAAAATACGTCAGAAATAATTAAACAAAAATACTTGTAAGACTCCTGCTTGTTAAAGTGGGTCCTGATGAAGTTCCATAGGTAAAAAAAGAAGTACAAATATTCTCCTCATGGCTGCAGTGGAATGGGAGAGGGACTCTTCCTCACTTAGAATTCCTAGTCAGTCTTAACTTTCTTCTGCTTAAAATGATAAAACAGAGACATAAAAGGGGAAACACTTTCACTTCATATCAAGTGAGAAGCTTCAGTATAAAGCAGCTTGTTACTTACCACTTTTGAAACACTATGCCTTCAAAACACAGACAGGAATAGACTCTTCTTATATTAATGACCTTGGTCCTCCATTGTTGTTCCTTTCTGAATTAAAGAGGAACTGAAATCTGTTGAAAGTCCAGAGGTTAAAGCTTGGTACAGCCAACATCAATTGGCAAGCAAAGATACAAGAAGTCAAGTCTGAATCTTACTCTGCTTTCTGCTGATGTCTGCAGTTCAATGGGAGAGGGAGTCTTCCTCACTTCAGGATCCTGTTCAACCCTAACATTATTCTGCTTAAAAAGATAAAAACAGACACCAAAAGGGGATCATTGGCACTTCATATCAAGTGAGAAGATTTCTAAAATAAAGTGGCCAATGGGCGATATGCTCACCTAAGCATATTGGCTAGTAAATGCACAAATTAGTCCAGTATTGAAAAGTATAAATTTTAGAATAACTACCTTGAGACATTTTCATATCAATAACAATGGCTTAGCTGTTCTTGAACATAAGATTTTTTTTCTATATATTCCTTTGTTAAAATTTTATCCCCATTGATGCCCCTCCCTGCCCCCTGGAATCAAGATTTGGACAAATGTGAATCTACACTACCTAAGGATGCTCCCATATCAATATGACTATATATGGCTTTGGTATTATTGAGAGGAGGTTTCCTATATATTCCCCTGTCCATTTTGATCCACCATTGGGGCTCTGCCCTACACATGGGAGTCATGATTTGAACAAACTTAAATCTACACTACATGAAGATGCTAGCGTATACATATCACCAGTCATGACATTTTTGTTTCTGAGATTTCTAAAGATATTTCCAAAATAATCCAACGTAAAACTTTGATTGTCCATTGTGGCCCAAACCTTTCCCCGGTAGACATGATATGAACAAAATGAAATCTTCACTACCAAAAAGGATGATTTGATATCAATATGACTAATTGTGGCTTGAGAAAAAAAATTATGTATATCCCTTGGTACATACTGTAGATTCCTAAATATATGCATGGAAGTAATTATCGCGTAGTTTCGCGAGGGGCATCAAACACAAAATTAAATTACTCACCTTTATTTTTATGGAGCTGAAAACTATGTAAATCTTTTAACCAACCATCCATTCGAATTATTATTCTCGTGATTTGAGAGTGAAAAGCCTATTCGCGATAATAATTACACACAAAAAATAAGGAATCTACAGTATAATATATATTTTTGATCCCCTATTCTGACCCCAACATGGGGTCTTGATTTGACTTTGAATCTACACTACCTGAGGATGATGCCACATAAGTGTCTCTTTCCTGTCTCAGTGGTTCTTGAAAAGAAGATTTTTAAAAGATGTTTTTAATTTTTCACTTATTTGTAGTAATCTTCCGTTTGAAGAGGGAGTGGGCCTTCATTTGAATAAACTTAAATCCCATAATGGCATTTATCCAAGGATACTCTTTGCCAAGTTTCCTTGAATTTTGACGTAGATGAAAATGTGAAATTTTACAAAAAAAATGACAAAGACATAAAATGAACAAAGGTTCACTTCTTTTAACCAGAAGTCTCTGTCGAGACTGTAGCTCTACTGGTTTGTACTTATAACGAAGGATGAGAAAAGAAGCCATTGCCACCACACCAAAACTGTAGAAGGAGTAGCGTTTTAAAGGAATTTAACAGAAAATTCTATTTTTAGTAACCATGGCAACACCATTCATTGAAATCAAAAACCGATGCACTATTTTATGTATCTTAGTGTAGTCTACTTGTGTGCCAAGTTATATTGAAATCAGAACAAAAACTGTAGGAGGAGTAGCGTTTTAAAGGAATTTCACAGAAAATTCTATTTTTAGTAACCATGGCAACACCATTCATCGAAATCAAAAACTGATGCAATATTTTATATATCTTAGTGTAGTCTACTTGTGTGCCAAGTTATACTGAAATCAAATCAAAACTGTAGAAGGAGTAGCATTTTAAAGAATTTCACAGAAATTTTAATTTTTAGTAACCATGGCAACACCGTTCATTGAAATCAAAAGCCGATGCACTTAATTATCTATCACAGTGTGGTCTACTTGTGTGCCACGTAATATTGAAATCAGAGTAAAACTGTAGGAGGAGAAGCATTTTTAAGGAATTTTACAGAAATTTCTATTTTTAGTAACCATGACAACACCATTCATTGAAATC